GCCCCAGGGAGAGTTAGCCCAGCTACTTTGGCTGGTCTAAGGTCTAGGGAATAATCTGTAGTCTGCCTCTGGGATTGTAGAATTTTGGTCCTCAATTGATTTTAAGATCAGAGTTTAAATTAGAAAAGCCACTGATGTGGATGAATGGTGGGTGGTTTAATTATTCACGTTGCTATTACATGTGAAAGAAAATCTCAGAGCACTTTCTAAGGCATCTGACTGCTGATTATCGAGTTTTTATGCATTCATCCCAGGCAATGGTCTGCCAGCTTTGGAGGAGTCTGAGTGAGTTGATCTCAGGTCTGATTTCTTTCTGCTTCCCTACACAGATCTTTGCTTCAATCTCTGGCTCATGCCTCCTCCTTTTGTTCATCATTAACTTTCATCCCTGGAAATATCCTTTATCTGACCCATATCACTATCTTTATTCCATTCCGATGCAGATTTCTTGGATATTTTTTGTCTTATCTCTGATTATTTTATTCTCATTATTCCTTTTTCTGGCTAGATGCACATGATAAATCAGTGCAATGATCAGAATAAACCATCCAGATAAGGCATCTTCATTTCTTTATTGTTAAGAATGAATTTGTATTCTTTAAGACTTGATCATTTCTGGAGATGTTGACATTTTGTGAGGCAAACACTTCAAATTTTCTTATCAAGTCAATAATATCTTTATTTGTAGGTTGTTGTGATGAACACATGAGGTAATATATTGCAAAGCACCTAGAATACATTTAAGTATTGTTAATTTGATGATATTTATTACTCAAATATCCATTCTTATTGATACTTTTCAAAATGATTTTATGAATTTTTTTAATCAAATTGACTTTACTGCTCTTGATATGTATGTATGTGTATGAGAGAGAGATAACGAGAGAGAGGAGATACTGTAACATAAATAGTTATGTCATAAATAAGTTTAGCATTGTTTTTCATGAGTTTATGGACAAGAATGCTTTATTTATTATACTTATTTTCCTTTTCAGAAGATAAGGCAGTATTGGTGCTTTTGCAAGATATATCAAAATACAGCAAAAGAGACTAAATTATAATCAAAGCCATATAAAAATATAGAATAAGTGTGGTTAAGGTAGAATATGAAATAAGATAACTACTACAGATTACTGGTATTTGTGATTGGTGAGCTGTATGTCAGAAGTCAAGATAATTTACTCATTAATAAAAACTGGGAAAATTTAAATACATTTATGTAATGAATATTTACACTAATTTGTTATACTCCTGTGTAGAATCTATATCCTACAAATGCTGTTTGTTTATGTTATTTACACTCCTGTCTGCACATCCTTACATGTTTCCCCGAGCTGAAATCTGTAGCCTTTCATTCCTTCAAATACTTCCCATTCTTTATATGACAACTTACAAATTTACTTATCAGTATCTCAGCTTAACATGTTTTCACTGTTCTTTGAATTTCTATGGGACATTTATTCCACAATTTCTGTTAGCTGATAGATTGGTAGAAAGATTTGTGCATGTTTGTGTGTTTGTGTGTGTGTGTGTGTGTGTGTTTGTCTTACTCCTTGTTTGTAAGAGCTCACAATGTATTTCAAATGTATTGTTACCGAAAGCTTAGCACTTGTCCTTGAGGCCATATCAGAAGAACAAGAACAAGTGGTTTGAGGAGAAGGAAAGAGAAGTTTATCACTTTGTTGGCAAAGGAGGAGGATAAAGACTCCTGTCTCAAATACCACTGTCCTCGCATAATAAGCAGAAATACAGAGCTTTTAAAAGGTTGCCTCCCAGCTTCAGGCAATTGCTGTTCAATTGCAGTTGATAATTCTGATCATCGCATCTCCACTGAAGACAATCCCAGACAATGTTGTGACCTCTACCCAGGACCTCCATTTACTGGGTTGGGGCTGAGCCATGTTCTATAGCACAAATAACAAAAGACTTACTCTGCCCCTCCCAACCACTGGCCTGAGGCAGGGATGCAGGTTTTAGTTCTCAAAAAGGAGTGGAGGATGTTTTAAAGGGACAGAAAATATTTTTGCCATTTTTACAGGCCATTCCCTTGGTTACATATTCCCCACTGTCATATTTCCCTTTCGTATCTATGGGAGAAGGGGAGACTACTCTGTTACAGTATCCATATAATGGATATTGTAATAGTATTCATAGTATATATAGCACATAGTCATATTTATAAAATATGTGTATATCAAGTATTAATAATTGGATATATTTATATATAATAATTTGGCCTACCTTTGAAGTATATTACAAACACCTGAAAGGCAAAATATATTTATTTTTGTACATGCAACAATGTTGTCTCATTATATTAAATATTAAGGTTTTTTTTTTTTTGTCAAATGAAATTAAAAAGAAGATAACCATGTTCTTGCTAACTACTAGTCAAATGGTATTTGGCCTCAGGGATAATAATCTGTTCACAGTGAACAAGACACAATATAAAGAACAGATGAGAAAACTATGCTTAGATGTTAAGTAACTTGTCAAAATTGTAAACCGAATTTTAACCTAGGACACTCTGAGTCCACAGTTTTATGACTCTTAGAACACTGTTTCAGTCATTTCATTTGAATGGATACTAGAGTAAATTGTGGAACGTTATTAACTCTTTTAATTATTTGGTGCTTGAGGGCAGATAAAAATCCATATGAATGAATCACTCTCCCCAGACTCTGTTCTCTGGGGAGTCATTGTCAGGCAGACCAGGAAATCCTCCCTCCAGTTCCTGCCTTTCTAGACAGGTAGTCCTTGGGCATTCTACTTTCTTCCCCAAAGATCAAAAACTGTAATCTGGTTTCTTATTGGCTGTTATGGGTTGGATTGTGCCCCTTCAAAATTCATACTTTGAAGTCCTACCCTCCTGTACCTCAGAAAGTGATTTTATTGGGTAAGAGGGTCTTGAAAGAGGTAATTAAGTTACAATTAGGTCATTGTGTAGGCCTTAATACAATACAACTGGTGTCCTTATAAGAAGAGGAAATTTAGACACAGACAGGCACAGGGAAAGGCATGTGAAGAGACACAGGGAAGGCATGGCCATCTAACAGCCGGGGAGAGAGGCCTGAAACAAATCCTTACCTGCCAGCCCTCAGAAAGGACCAACCCTTCCAACTCCTTGTTCTTGAATATCTGGCCTCCAGAACTGTGAGGAAACAAATTTCGGTTAAAGCTGTTCAGTCTATGGCACTTTGTTGTGGAAGCCCTAGCAAACAAAAAAATACATCGACATTCTCCAAAACTCATAATTTTTTGTACTTCATGTCTTCCTAAAGAGGGTAGAACAGTAGAACTTTTCAATTAGTTTTTGAAGTAGTTTTGACCATATTTTATCTTTAAAAATGTGTGATTACAAAGCTAAATACATATTTATTCTCCTGCTTCTTTAAAACATCATTATTATCCCATTTCCAGAGATAACCACTATTATTTCATTTTATGCTATATATAAAGATTGACAGATTTCTAGATCAAAGTTCAAATCTTTTATTAAGACTAATAAATTATGTTTTAAAAATCTATTTATTTATAATAACACAAGGTATGTCATGATCCATGAAAGTTACAGAGGTGATGGACTCAAGAGAAAATTTAAATTAATGTTCTAAAAATCAAATTTGAATGAGTCCCAGCTTATTTTAACAGCATTTGCTGTTAGTTGAATATAAGCTTTGGTCACTGATTCTGATATCCAAGTAACTGTCTTTTATTCAAATCACATAAGTCAGCAGACTCTGTCTTCCTGAAATCACAGTCCTTTGTCCCACACTCAGCTTCTCCTTCTTATTATAAAATAGTCAGTCCAGTGAAGGTCCAGGCAGAACAAGCAGCATGAACAACCAGCCAGCCCAGAGCCACAGGCTGAGGCGTGTCTTCAGTCAGGACTGGCAGGTCCTGAATCGAGGCCTGCTGTGTGCCCAGTATTTCAGAGCTCTGTTCCCATGCAAGGTTTCGTTGTGAGAGAAGAATCTGGGACTGGATATATTCATCATCTAGCCCACAGGTGTTCTGTTTGGAAGACCAGAAAATGTTATGCTAAAATCAGAACATTTATTTCTACTGAAAAATGTGAAGATTTGGCCTAACAGTGCCTGAAATCTCATACAGGTAACATTTAGCTGGACGCACCTCATTATTACCTGTTCCTGACTTGCTGAGATATTCATGTTATATGCTCAACTTCTGTTAGCATTTGAGTTATAACCATTTCTTCCCCTTCCCCTCAAACAACATCTACCCGATGCAGTAAATACCGCAGTTGTTTAGTGGGTAATTAACTGAATGAATAAGACCATTCATATATTTTTGTTTGTTTGTTTGTTTGTTTGTTTGTTTTGTATTTTTCATTGATATATTATAGTTGTACATAGTTTTGGGGGTACATGTGATATTTTGATATATGTGTGCAATATGTATGCTCAAATTAGGATAAATGGGATATACATCACCTCAAACATTTATCTTTTCTTTGTGTTGTGTTGGAAACATTACAATTCTTCTCTTTAAGCTATTTTTTGAAATATACAATAAATTATTGTTAACTATAATTTCCCTGCTGTACTATTGAATACTAGAACTTGGAAGCATAGCATAGAAAATGTAAATATTCATAGGGGATGGGAAGGAAGAGGGGAGGGGGGAAATGAAGAGATAGAAAAACCATTCACCTTTTACATTAAATAATATATATTCTTCCAAAGCTTGAAGGTGGTGGTGGTTATAATGGTGAACATAGCTGCCTCCCAAAGCTTATATTTATTATGTATGTATATAATCCATTGCTTAATGAACATATGTTTATTCTATTTCATTTATTTAGAATCTGGTATTTCTTAGACTTAACCGAGAAGCAGAAAAAGATACAAGAAAGAGAAGCAAATGGTTGGGACCAGATTTATGTTCAATCACCTCTATGGATCACTTTGTGATTGTGTTCTTTGCGCTAAATACCACTAAGACCCCAAGTGTTTTGAATATTCTTTGACTCTCCCTCTATGACTTGGAAAGCAAATGAGACCACTGTGACTGAATTTATTCTCAAGGGCTTCTCAGACATGCCTGAAATGAGGCTTATTAGCACCACGTTTTTTCTTTTCATCTACCTCTTTGCCCTCCTGGGGAACATCTCCATCGTTGCAGCTGTGACCAGAGACACCCACCTCCATACTCCCATGTACTTCTTCCTGAAGAATCTGTCCTTCTTGGACATGTGCTATACCTCGGTCACTGTCCCCAAGGCACTGATCAATTCACTTACGGGCTTCAAAGTCATTTCCTTTAGGGAATGTGTGGCTCAGCTCTTTTTGTTTGTAATGCTGTGTGCTTCTGAATGCTTCTTACTGACATCCATGGCATATGACCGCTGTTTAGCCATACACAAGCCTCTCCTCTATGGTGTCATTATGAGCAGAAAGCTGTGTACAGAGCTTGTCATTGTGGCCTGGTCGAGTGGAGCTCTCTATGCCATATTTCACACTGTTAACACCTTCTCCCTCCTGTTCTGTGGGCCCAATGTCATTGACCACTTCTTTTGTGACAGTTCTCCCATCATGAGACTCTCCTGCAGTGATTCGCACACCAATGAAGAGGTTGGATTTGCAGTGGGTGGGTGCGTCATTCTTGGTGCCTTTGCCCTCACCATAATCTCGTATGTTCTCATCATCTCTACCATTGCTCAGATTCACTCTGCTGGTGGCCGTCAGAAGGCCTTCTCCACCTGCTCCTCTCACCTGGCCACTGTCATTCTGTTTTATCTCACTGGGAGCTTTGCTTACCTGACACCCACTTCCCACTACTCTCCCATTCAGGGACGGTTAGTATCTGTGTTTTACTCTATCCTCACACCTAGCCTGAATCCCATTGTTTACTGTTTGAGAAACATAGACATGCAGATGGCCCTGAAAAAGCTATTTGTTCCCTCTAAGTAGATATGTTTTCTTGTTTTAAGCATTTTGCTCTGAACGTTGCCCCATGTTGCCTTTGTGCTTCTTTATGCAGCTTATTCTTTTGTGGAAATTGATCGTAGATTTTGCCCTTGCTAAAACTGCAAATTAAGAAAAGAATGGTTGTGGGCTGGCAGAATCAACATTGTTAAGATCTCTATACTACCCAAAGTGATCTACAGATTCAATGCAATCCCTATTAAAATACCAACATCATTCTTCACAGAT